CCAGTCCCCGCACGTGACTGTGTAAACAGATTTAGGTCCCCACAAGGATAGTAATGCTAGGCCACACACACACACACACACACACACACACACACACACACACACACTCAGCTCACATTTGCCAGACGTGTCTCCAGATGTATAATCTCCTTGGACTTCTGCGTGGCGTTGTGAGCTCCCAGCATGCTTAGCAAACGCTCCATCAGAGCCTTGTACGCTGCCAGGATCTGAAGAAAAAAGCACAACGACATCAGCGCTAATAGAGGAGCCGGAGCTCATCAGTAATGGACGCTGACATGGTGACATGTGGCAGAGTGGACGGGATAACAAAAGCACAGCGGGACAGAGGGGAAAACAGGTGGATTGATGGGAGAGGAGAGGGAGACGGGTATTGATAGAGGAGGAGGAGGGAGGGAAGGGAAGGATTAAAGGAAGAAAGGAGGGGAGGCAGGAGAAAGGGAGTCAAAGTGAAGTCAAGTTTGAATTAAAAGAGAAAGTCGGGAGAAAAAGGAAAGAAACTGCAAATTCTGGATCTGAAAGGTGAAGCTAATGTGGAAAATACCTTAAACCATTCTCTGGTTACCAAAAAGTCTAATTGCATAGAAGTCTATGAGAAAGTAGGCCTACTTCTAACTGTATTTATGAACAGAAACATTTGGGTCTGAAAGTGAAGCCAATGGCAAAAATACCTTAAACCTGCATCATCTCTTATATCCAGCAGGGGGCAGCACGTCTAATTGTATAGAAGACTATGAGAACATTACCTTACTACCTTACTTCTCACTTGTTTATTAACTCAGTAAACATTTTCCTGATGAGTTTATTGACTTGATCTCTAGTTTAGAGTCTTCTTCATTACATTATGGTTCATTTAGTATGTGTATTTAGAGTAAAATATATATGAATAATTGGGGGTTTGTCTTACAACTTAAGAAGAGAAGCAGAAAACTCAAATTGTGTAGAAGTCTATGAGAAAATGACTCTATTTCTCACGTGGTTTATTAACTCAGTAATAAGAGTAAATGGACTTGATCTCTAGTTTAGGGGCTTCTTCAACACAGCATAGGGCTGCACGATATTGGAAAAAACTGACATTGCGATTTCCCCCCCCCCCCCGCGAG